CGCCCGCACCGTCACGTTGTACTCCGACACCTGCTCCCGGTCCAGCTCTCTCGCTGTCACCACACGGTAGTAGTCGTCAAAAGATTCCTCCAGTCGAAACGGGACGCCCTCGTCGAGTGAGCAGCGGACATCACCATTGGCCCCCGAGTCCCTGTCCTTCACGTGCAGCAGAGCTACCACAGTTCCCGTCTGGGCGTCCTCCGAGATCTCGTTAAGAGCCGACCTTACCGAAATCTTGGGCACGTTATCATTGATATCGGTCACAGTGATCATGACTTCTGCAGTGTCAGAGAGCTCTCCTCCGTCATGTGCCCGCACCTTAAGTTCATGGGAGGAGATTTCCTCGAAATCCAAGTCCTCCTTAACAGTTATTTCTCCTGTCTCAGAGTCGAGATTAAAAAGTTCTGAGGCTCGGTCTGAAATTTTATGGAAGCTGTATTTCACCTGCCCGTTCAGACCCTCGTCGGCATCCGTGGCCTTCAGAGTGACTAGGACAGAGCCCACAGGCACGTCCTCGGGCACACGCACTGTGTACTCCGCCTGGCTGAACACGGGCGCGTTGTCGTTCACGTCCAGCACCCGCAGCGCCAGCACCGCGCTGCTCTGCAGCGACGGCGACCCGCCGTCGGCCGCCCGCACCGTCACGTTGTACTCCGACACCTGCTCCCGGTCCAGCTCTCTCGCTGTCACCACGCGATAGTAGTCATCAAAGGACTTCTCCAGACGGAACGGGACGTTCTTGCCGAGCGAGCAGCGAACCTCTCCATTCTTCCCCGAGTCCCGGTCCTGAACATGCAACAACGCCACAACAGTGTCCGCAGGGGCGTCTTCCGAGATCTCGTTAAGAGCTGACCTCACCGAAATCTTGGGCACGTTGTCATTGACGTCTGTCACGGAGATCACCACTCTTGCAGTATCTGAGAGCTCTCCTCCGTCATGTGCCTGCACCTCAAGTTCGTGGGAGGAAATTTCCTCGAAATCTAAGTTGTTCTTAATAATTATTTCTCCTGTCTCACTGTCGAGTTTAAAAAGTTCTGAGGTTCGGTCTGAAATTTTATGGAAGCTGTATTTCACCTGCCCGTTCAGCCCTTCGTCGGCGTCCTTGGCCTCGACAGTGACGAGGGTGGAGCCCACGGGCACGTCCTCGGGCACACGCACCGTGTACTCCGCCTGGCTGAACACGGGCGCGTTGTCGTTCGCGTCCA